TTCCTGAGAAACTATTTTGTAGATAACAATATGTAAAACAATAACCATTGATAATTTCCTACCATTTTGTCTGTAATTTGCTAAGTCCCCCCTATTATTATGTTATCCTTCTTTAATCTTTAAAAAAAAAAGAAATAAAAAAAGAAAAGAAATAAAATTTTAATCTCATCTTCCAAGAAATTCAGTAGCTAATATCTGTAACTGACAATTAGAAAGTATCAGTATAGACATGTTATTTAGAAAATGCAAGAAGTTAATCAGTTGAAAGCAGTTACCTTGGGGCTGGGGATTTAGCCCAGTGGTACAGTGCCTGCCTGACAAGCACAAGGTCGTGAGTTCAATTCCTGGTACCAGAAAAAAAAAAAAAGAAAGAAAGAAAGAAAGCAGTTATCTCTGGGTAACAGGACTTGGGATTATAGGTAGTGAGAAGAGTAGAGAAGAACTGATCAATCTTCCAAAAATGTATATTTAATATTTGACAAAAATTAAATATGTAAGTAAAATTGAAGAAAAAAAAGTTTTCTCAATCATCTCTAAATTTCTGCTTTAGTATCCTTATACTGTAAAAATATTTAGCTTTATTGTGATTATCAGAGAAAATATATCAGTTTTACAATAGAAAAAAAATTTTTTTTTGTTTTTTCTTTTTTCTTCCGGTACCAGGAATCGAACTCACGACCTTGCGCTTGTCAGGCACGCGCTTTTGCCACGGAGCTAAATCCCAGCCCCAGAAGAAATATTTCAAAATTATAAATTTAACTTAGTAACACTTCCTTTTGCTAATATTCAGAGTTTTTCCACTCACAAGGGAAATCGAGCTTTCACACGAAGTAAGGAAACACTCGGTCAGGCGGCAGTGGTTCAGCACCCACAGGTGAAATGCTAGCTCAATGACTAATTATGCCCCGAAAATTTCCAGCTGAACGTAAGCGGAGAATCTGCGTAGATTGCAAAGCGACAGACCAATGAATAATATTCAGAAAAGACTTGAAGTGATCAAGAAAATCATCATTACATTACTGTAAGAAACACAAGGTGCATTTCACTGAAGACTTTCGGATCACTGAGTAGGGTAAGAAACAATCAGGAAAGAACACAGACAACGGTGGACCTTCTCCCCTCTTTATTCCTTCCTCCTTCCCTCCCCGCCTCCCTCCTTTCTTCTGTCTTTGCTTTCCGCCTTATTTTATCTGTAAAAAGCAAGTGATGGAAAGCTAGTTCTTAGTAAGTAAAAAGGCTTCTCCTCTGCAAACAATTGTTTCTGGTTCAGGATTCAGCACGAATCAATCTTAGCTGAGGAGCGGAGAGGCAAACGGGATTTACTAGCTGCTTTTCTGATGGCTGTAGCCTCCAGGGCTTACTATTCTTGTTGAAACTGTTTCGGACTTGTACTTTCTAATGTTTCTCACTAAATTGATTATTGCCTTTAGAAGTAATTTCATGGCTTTTGGAGTACTATAGCTTTATCTTCCTAACCTTCATGGTGCTGTGAAGGATGGGTCTCATTTCTTGTTAATTTTGATTCTTCTTTGAGGTCATTCTCTCACTCTCCAAGGAAACCATCAGGAACAGTTTTTATTAGTCTTACACATCATGACACCTCTGGAGAATTTATACTGACTAATTCATCTTTCTTGACAATCACCAAAATAAATGGTAGCCTGAGCAGTTGTTTTATTTCTGTGAACTTATTCTATTTCAGAGAAATAAGTAGTCATAAAGACCAAATAGACCAGGATTTCCTATTTCCAATATTATATCTAATGGTCAATTTTAAATTATTTTAGTTTTAAACTTCTTAAAATAACAGTTTAATCCTACATTATTTTATCTGACCTATTCCTTTCTTTTCTTATGTGACAGAAAAGAGAAATAGGAACACAGTTCACTAGAATTATAGTCTAGGCTCTGGTCCCCATTATACATATGACTTTACACAACTGACAGAAGTTTTCTGAGCCTCAGTTTTATCTTATGTAAAGTGTAGGAAACCAGGGGGCTGGGGATTTAGCTCAGCAGCACAGTGCCTGCCTGGCAAGCACGAGGTTGTGAGTTCAATTCCCAGTACCAGGAAAAAAAAAAAAAGTGTAGGAAGCCATGTTTTATGAGATTGTGCTCTCAGTATGAAGCAATATCTCCCCAATGTGAAATCTTCAAACACCAAGTTTACTCAAGTACATTTCACCTTCCATATATTAAAATGTGTTTGGAAGATAATGCCCAAAGTCTCTCAGTTTTTAAAAAAATACCTTATTGTGAAGTACTTTTTTATATATACACAATAAGCAGCAGTCTAGTATATACCTGAATCACAGAACTGTGAAACAAGAACTGAGGATAGGTTAGAAGCAGTAGATTCTTCTGCTTTTCCTTTAAAAACCAGTTTTCATGGTCTAAAATATTTATTATCTGCCCTCTACCAGAAAAAGAGTCCAATTCCTAAGAATTAAATGAAGAAGCAGGGTAGGAAACACAAGTCATCTTTACAGAGAATTCCAAATGTTAAATATAAAAGAGAAATAAACTATCACCATTAGAATTCAACAGTAATAATTGTTGCAAGTAAGCCTCACTAATAAATGCTAAAGGTAGTAGAAAAAAATTATAAAAATAGGATATTTGCATGCCCTGAAGTATAATGTATGTAACGTATATACTTAATGTAGAGCTCTCAATATACATTGCTAGATTGCGTTATCATATTTACACATAATTTTTATACTCCTCTTCCAGCTCAATTTTTCTCTTGAGAGTAGGCTAGACTGAATTGCTCATCTGCAAAGAATAGAACATGTAAAGGGAAAAACAAGGACCTGACTGTAGAGAAATCTCACAGAATCTCATGTAAGTGATCAAAGGTGAGCTTACCAGTAATACTGCATGTTGGTATCGTGTGTCTGTGACAGAATGCAAGGTGAAGGGCACTATGCGTCTGTCATATTCCTCCCATAAGTCCATCACAGTCATGAGAAAAAGATCAGATAAGCTCAACAACTGAAAGATGTTTACAAAATACTTGACCAGTAGTCTTCACAACTCTGTCCTGAAAAGCAAGAAAATGCTTAGAAAGTCCATAAACAAGGAAACCGAGGAGACACGATGCTTACACACATTGTAGTATTCTGGGTTTTATTGTTGAGCAGAAAAAAAGAATACTAATGTTCTTAAAGTAAATATCTGCTAAGTGGCCACTTCATAGAATGTAGAGGGAATATTTACAGTTCTACAAGAAATCAATTCATTAAGAATAAGTAGAAGATTGGAACATACACTTCACTAAAAAAAAAATATTAGCAGAAACTAAGCATAAGAAACTGTTTAATATCATTAGTCAATAGAAAAATGTAAATGAGAACAATAATACTAACTGCTCTACACCAACTCAAATGGCTAATATTAAAAGGTTGATATGGAGCAATTGTAACTCTTGAACACCATCTGTGGAAATATGAAATTATATGAAAATATGAAACAATAAGACCACTCTGGTCATAGTCATCAGCTGCCATTATGATCTAACAATTCAATTACTAGTTACCCAGAAGAAATGAAAACATATGTTCGTTTTAAAAAGCACTTAAATGCTTTGGGTTTTTTTTTTGGTACCAGGAATCGAACTCACGACCTTGCGCTTGCCAGGCAGGCGCTGTGCCGCTGAACTAAATCCCCAGTCCCCTTAAATGCTAATGCACCTGTGTTAGTTGCAGCCAGAATTGAAAACAACTCAAATGTCCATTAACTGACAAATGGATTTATAGATTTTTTTTTTATTTTGAAGAGAAAAAAACTAACAACACAACAACAATGAAGACAAAATCAAAACAACACAAAAACAACAGTAACGGTATGTGACCTCAAAACAAACCGATAGGAATTAGCAATGGTTGCTACATTACATACTGTTATCTTCAACGAAATTGCTCAGTCCACCCAATGTAAAAATGTAAGATTAATTAAACAATAAAATACAGTAACAAGTAATAAAAAATACATTGGAAATGATACAGAGTATTATTCAGCTATAAAGAAAGGTAAACTCGAGGCTTTTATAGGTAAATGGATGCAACTACAGACCACACTCATCAGTGAAATAAATCAGACCTGCATGTGTAAACACTGTATTTCCTCCCTACTATAAGAACCTGAAAGAGTAAATAAAATCTGAAGTGTACAATAGGTATTGTGAAAGGGAAAAGAAACTGTTCAAACAGAATTTTATGTATCTATTCAGCATAATACATTGCAAAAAAAATCTACTGATAAATGCAGAAACATAGATAAATGTCTAAAGCACTATGCTAAATGAAATTTCAACATAGAACACTACATGATGTGTTACTCAATTTCTATTAAATGTCTAGGAAAAGTTTATTGTGAGAGAAATCAAATCAGTGGGTGTTAGTAGCTGTGGTTGGTGAGAGGGTATTGATTGATAAAAGGCATAGGGAATTCTTTGGTGTAGCAGAAAAGTTTTATATTATGAAGAGTGTCAAATTTCATTAAATTTTATACTCACTGGTGAATTTCATTTTGTGTAATTCCTATTTCAAAAAATTTGATAAAAAATTATTAAAAATGTTCAAGTGGATCTTAGGTTCTAAAGATTTGATTTATTTTAGGAGAATTTACTTTAAGAGAATATCATTGAAACACCTACATAAACTATTGGAAATATTCAAACATATTTTTTTGCTCACAGTATACTTCAGACAGCTGCAAGCAATTTAGTGCTTGTGAAAATGGAAGAACTTAAAAAAAAAAAGAAAATGGAAGAACTTGTTTACTTACTGAAGTGCATAGACATGAGATTATAGACAGATAGTATTAAAACATTGTGGAGTAGTTAGTTTAATATACTAGCCTGATTTTCATACAGCATGCTAAAACCCTGAGACAGTTTCAGAATGATGTTTAACAAGCAAATATTAAACAAATTTTAACTTCTTAAAGATCTGTGAAACAAAAATGATAGTGAATATATTAATATTCAAAAATAATTATAAATTATTATTCCTTTTTAAATATGACAGATTGAAAGAAGTTTTAGCTTTATGTAGGCATAACTCACAATGTTGGATTAAGTCTGTAATATGAAGAATTCATACATGTAAATAATATAAAGTGATTACCATAGCAACTTAATTAGTACCTCTAACATTTCTTATTGCCATATTTATATTTTGGTATAGATGCTAAAATCTCTTCTAGCAAATTTCTAATATGCAGTTCAATATTATTAAAAGTAGCCACTATACTGTACATTAGATCCTCAAAATTTCTTAAAACCAAAAGTTCTTACTCTGACTAACATCTTTCCAATTTCCCTACCCACCATCCCCTGGAAAACACGATTATACTGATATCAGCATTAAATTAGTAAAACATAAAAACAAAAACAAAATAACAGCACTTAACTAAGTTCCACTGCAAAGAAGAAAAACAGTCATAAAGATTGTAGCTGTTTCTAATTTTGCCATTTTTCTTTGAAAAATGTATGTTAAAAGGAAATGAAAAACAGTATGTGGATGGAATGGTAAAGAATGATCTGCTCTTATATGAGAATAATTCAAGACAGAGTAATAACATGCTCTGAAGCTGAAAATACTCTGAGGTTAAAAAATAAACTGTTGAAGTATATATTTTTGTTTCATTATAATTGCACCTAGAGTAAAATAACTTTTTCTAACAGCAGAATGTGTCTCTTCCCTTTTTGTTCTGCCTTGAAAAAATGTCTATAAACGTTACTAAAACATTCAGACGTATGTTAATTTCTTACTGAATTTGAATTATGCAAGAAAAAAAAGACACCTCATGCTCTTGGCAGATAAATGTGAATTGTTCATTCACAATCCAATAGACAAAATAAGCTTTTGTTTACCAGGGCAAATTATGTCTGTTTAGGAAGTTTATCCCTGACATACTTAGTCAGGAAGTTCTAGTGACTACCAGAATGCTCTCACCCTATCATAATGCGCTGTTTACTGAATCACATGTCTCTTAATGAGTAATGCTGAGATTGAGCCAGAACTCAGCCCAAGCCTAACTTGATCTCCAGGATCACCCTGCACTCTAATAAACCTTTACTAATTGCTATTGCTTCCACACTGTGACTTACCTGAGAACAGATACTTGATCACAGGATCCCTCTGTACCTGGCATCTAATACTCCCTAGCTCATTTCCAATACTCAATAATAGGTGGCTGTACGTATTGGTATAATATGCTTTTCTGACTGCTTTTACACTGTCCCGTTAACTCTAAGGGCATTTTCAAGCCAAAGCTGCATGCTATACCATAAGAATTGGTTTTTTAAAGTTTAAATAAGTTCAGTGTTTGTCTCTCCTCCAAGAAATTACACCCTTCTACTCCAACAACAGCATGATAAAAAGGAGCAGAGGTGGAAACCCAGTGTCCGTGAAATGACAGCAAATGTAAGGGCAGAGCCAATGGTACAGCACAGGTCCCAGACGCAGGGAAATGCAGAGAAAGGACGCCCTCAGCTGTGTGTCCTTGACACTGCTGGTGGAATCTATGGCTCTGTAAGCATGTCATGATGAAGTAGAAAAATAAGACATTTGTTTACATAAAGGAGAATGGAAAGACAGAAAGCTGTGAGAGCCTTAGTCCCATGCTTTATTTGGTAGAAGGTCTGAAAGCAAAAGCATAGGAATAAGGCGCGTTTGAAAGGGATTGTCGTCCGTTGGTGGTGAGTCTGTAAAAAGAAAAGAAATTCAGTCTGGAGGGCAGTCATTTGTCCTGTGTTGCAGCATTCAGCATGGTCACTACAGCAGGAGTATACCAGTGTGAGAGAGAAAAGACTGACCAATAAAACTGTCAATCCAAAGAAAGAAGGAAACGGGGGACACAGAACAGACAGGGCACACAAAGAGCCTGTAGTAAAATAGCCAGTGTAAGGCCAAACACGCCAGTAGTCACACTCAGTATAAATGGATTAAATGCTCAAGTTAACAGATGAAGATTGTCAGACAAAAGCAAAAATTTGTAAGATATATTTCACATAAAAATGCAGAAAATAGGGGGCAAAGGTATAACAGCTAACGATAAATTAAACCTAGATAAAATGGAAAGAAGGAAATGATAAAGCTAAGAACAAGGAATATAAAAATAGAAAGCAAATATATAAAAGAAAGAATAAAATCCAAAAAAGTATTTTTTTCCCATACTGGTATTGAATACAAGACCTCTGTGCTAATCTATTTCTGCAGCCTTTTCTTGTGTGTCTTTTTTTTTCCCATTTAGAGACAGGGTCTCACTAAGTTGCTAAGTTGTCCAGGTGAATTTTCAGCACAGTATCTGCCTCAGCTTCCAAGAGTCCTTGGATTACAGGTGTGTTCCATTGTACCTAGCTAGAGATTCTTTGAAAAGACTGATAAAAATTGCAACCCACTGATCAGACTGAGATAGAGAAAAACAGAGAAGTTGTCAATAGCAGAAATAAAAGAGAGGTAGAAGACCCATAGATCCTACAGTAAACAAAAGATCATAAAAAGTTATTATAATTAACATTGTGATCAGGAAAGTAAGATGAAATGGACAAATTCCTAAGTAAGGAAATATAAATACAAGTCAAGGAATGGTAAAATTTCAACATCTGAGTGGCCCTGTATCAGTTAAGGAACAGCAAACAAAGATTATTCGAGTAGACAAATGAAAGAGGAAAAAAGAAATTTATTCAACACAATTCTTAATCATTAAATCTTAAAATATTTATGTTAAGATTGAGGATAAACCAAAAATAGAGTGAGAAAGTTCAAAAGCATGAAGAGGTTAGACACATATAAAAGAAAATTTTAAAAATTCAAGTATATCTGAAACTACTGAGCTAAATTCAATTAAAATAAAGTAGAAATTTTGTATAAAATGGGTGATTCTCTAGGAAAATACAGATTGTCAAAATGAACTCAGAAGATATAGAAAATCTAGACTAACTGCAAAAAAAAAAAAAAAAAAAAAAGTGAACCTTTCTACCTAACCCCCAGTAAAATATTATCTTCAGTTTGAAATTGTTTCCTAGGGGAATTCCAGAACACATTGATAGAATACATAAATCTAATACAATGTAAAAAAGTTCCTATGCATATAAAAGTAATAAAGTTTTCCAAATTTTTTCACAAAAAACATAACATTACTAAAAATCTTCCAATGAAGCAAATAAAACATAAGGCATGTAACATTTTTGTCTATAGATATTGATGCCAAAATTGTAAATGATACATTAGAAAACTGAACATTTAAAATAATGTCTGGCATACATTCAGTACTCAAAAAATATTGAATAAATTAACAGACACAAAATAATTCTGAAAATCAGTCTATGATTAAAAACAAAAATGAAATAGTATGATAGCATAACATAAAAGATCCCAATAAATGAACTATAGTAGGGTCAGAAGTTAACCAAAGACAAATATTCATTTTTAAAGAAAGAAAACATTTCAAATTAGGAGAACAGTTAATTCATATTTACTGGTGTTTTAATAGCTCAGCGACCATTTAGGTTAACAGAATATCATTAAGCTGACTTTCATACCTTAAAACAAAATAATCTCTGATTAATTTTTAATTTTAAAAGAATAAGAACCCAAAATACTAAAAACTCATGGTAGAATTTTTAGCTATTTGAGATATGGGCCAAGTTTTGCAAATTAACATAAATCCTAGAAACTGTTAAAAAAATTAACTACAAAATTCTTTTATAGTGCCCTTATTAAAGAAAAAACACACAAACCAAAACAAAGGAAGGGAATACAGTTTGAATCTATATCGCAAACAACGTGCTAGTTTTGTGCATATATAGTGAGTTTTTAAAAATAAAAAAGCAACCAACAACCTAGTAAACTACAAGTATGTGATCAGTTATAAAAATACCTTCAGAGGACTAGGGGTGTAGCTCAGTGGTGGAGTGCTTGCCTGACATGCACAAGACCCTGGGTTCTTTTCTTTATTATTTTATTTTAAAGAGAAAAGAAACAAAACAGCAACAACAAAGACAAAAACAAAACAACACAAAAACAATAAAAGTAATGTAGGATTTCAAAGCAAGATGATAGGAATTAACAGTGGTTGTTATATTACATACTGTTATCTTCAACAAAGTTGCTCACATTACCAGATGTAAGAATGCAAGATTGATCAAACACTTAAGAGACTAGCTCTATCCCCAGCACTGAAAAAAATAGTTGAAAATAGCTCAACTGAATTCATAAGAAAATGTAATTCAACTACAATAACATGTTATTTACCCACTAAATTGGCAAGTATTGAAAAGATACCACACTAAATTAAGCAGACCAGAAAAGTGGTGGCACCCTCATACACTTCATTGGAAGTAGAATTTGGAATAACTTCCGTGTATTATCTATTGCTACACAAAATTATCGACTAAACCATAAAAGTTTAAAACAATAATAAACATTTATTTTCTCCAACACTTTCTCTGTCAGAGATTTTGGAGCACTCAGATTGGGCAGTTTTAGATCAAAGGCCCTTAGGAGGTAATCAGGACAGCAGCCAGGGATACACCCCTGGGAAGGCTCCACTGACTTTAAGTGGTTCACTCATAAAGTGGTCCATGTGTGTAACAAGCAAGCTGGTACAGCTATTGGTGTTCCTCTGTATGTAGGCTTCTCCTGGGGCTGCTGAGAGGTCTCATCATATTGCAGCTGGATTCCCCTTAGTCAGAGATCCCAAGAAATGAAGGTGGAAGCTGTGATATCCTTTTTGGCCTTAAATACTATAGTCACATAATATAATTTTCTCAGCATCTGCACTACCCAAGGTGGGAGGAAATTATACAGGGACGTATGTTTCAGGAGGAAACAATCACTGCAGGTCATTTTGGGGGTGGCATGCACAAGAAACAACTTGGAAAATATGCATATAAATTTTGAAGCTGAAGGCCCAGGAACATAGCTCAATGGCACAAGTACCTTCCTGGCAAGTGCAAGATCCTGAGTTCGATTCACAGTACCAAAAAAAAATTTTTTTTGAAACAGAAATTCTACTTCTATTTATTCTCCAGGTAAGTACTAAGATGTATACAAGAATGTATTCATATAAGCATTTTTAGCAATTGCAAAAAATAAAATAATTAAAGGTTAGTTAACAGATGTCTGATCAAGTATAATACATCCATACAATATAATTTATATGTATTTTAAACAAATTGAATACCTCTAATTTGATAGGATCCTCAAGAAAGTAAAAATAATACTGCCTTAAGGAAAAGAAAGCAGTAACTAGGTGATAAGAAAAGAGAAATTTATTCTTAAATAAGCACCCTTCTGTACCTTTTGTAACAATGTAAAATAATTACTTTAAGGGAGTAAAAACATTTATAAGAAAGGGTTCTAATCTTTGTAAAACTTCTACTTATTCCCCAAGAAAATTTGAGTTGGATTTCAGTGAGCCTTTATAGCTTCTTTTTGTCTTTTTGAGAGCTATTAATCAATTTCATACTATGAAAAAGTAAAATTTTATAACAAAATAATAGGAAGATAACACTAGTTAATACACCATGCATCATTATATTCAAAGTAGTGACTCAGAGTACAAAACATGGATAGAAAATATCTGTCTTACAGAAGAACAAAATAGAATATAGATAAATAGGAAGTAAGAAGTTCAAATTAATTTCCCGTTACCTATTTTGTTGTTACAAAAATATTTTAATATAGATGCTAAATTGTTTCATTTATACTACTAGTTTCTCTTAGCTCATTGTTTTTAACATCATCATTTAACTTTCTATTCAGATTTCCACTTTCTCAATTGTGCTTATTTTGTATTTCCTTGTTTGGCTTATTTTGTCTCCCCTAGTGTTTATATTCCCAATATTAAGAAAATAGAAAATCCGCAATGAGTATTCATTTAAATCAAGATTTCTCAACCTCAACGTTATATTTTGGGTCAGATACTTCATTGTAGGTGGATGTCGTGTGCATTGCACGGTACTTAGCAGCCTTCCTGACCTATTCCTACTAAATGCCGGAAGCATATCTTAACCAAGTCATGAGCAACAAACATACCTCCAGATACTGTCAGATGCACCCTGGATGGGAGGAATCACCCCGGGTGGACAGCCACTGATAATGATCCGAGCAGTGCTGAGAAGCAGCTACAAAAGTTAAAGATGGGTTTTCCATGCAAGTTTAGCACAAAGTTTCTATAATAATGTAATATGTACCATCAGTGAGACGGAATAGTGGAACTATAACATGTTGTATACTATGAGCTAAGCAGAACTATGCAATATTTCTGTTATTGTTGACTTATTACCCTTAACTGTCCCTCTTGTTTTATATTTGGTTGACCTTGCACAGGAAAGTAAAATATTCAGACTTCCTCTTTAGTGAAATTTTATGATTTGCAACATGAGGAACGATAGCTGATACGTGAAATTTATCATTTTCTTTCTCTTTTCTTCTAGATGACTGTAATGATAGTAAAAATTGATTATCAGAACACCAAGGCTATCATTTGGAGTAAATACTCTGTCCTTTGGTGCAGATCGCTTCATCAAATAGAGATTGTACTGTATAAAGATTAATTACACTAGCCAAAGAGTTAGTTCTGGATGATTTCTTTTAATTGATAACCAATGGTTTACAAACTAGAAGTTATCATCTGTGAAATTAGATAAAGAGCCTTACAGTGCGAGTAATAGAGTGACACAAAGGATATCTAAACTAGATCACTGTCATCTCACACAAAGCTGTAATGGGGAGAAAAAACCTCCTTAATACATGGATGAAAAAATTAGCACATTTGTCCATAGGTTTAAAATTGTCATTTTGTCACCAACGGTCTTTGCAGTAGGAAGAGCATTCCTCAGCTCTTTCCCAGTCCACTTTTCTCTATGTTAATTCCCTTAAATGAAGAAGAAATGGGAAAAGGAGAGAAAAAAGAGACAAAGAGAGAAGCTAAGCAGGAATGGAAGGAAATCTGTCTGTGAGACAATAAAATCACCACAGTCCCCAGTCTACAAGATAAAATTGACCTATTCATCTACTTCTACATCTGTCTTTCCTTAATCCCACCAAAATATCATTTAATCAACATCTACAAAGCCCATTTTGGAAAATACTTAAGAAATATAATAAACCAAGTGACAGTTTTCATCCTGCCTTCATTTTGTAATTTAAATAATGTGTTATAAAGGACCATTATAGACACACTTCCTCATGGTGTTCAGTAAAAATTTTTGCTTCTTTGTTTGTTTTGCTATTTTTGGTTTTTCTGTTGTTGTTTCGGGGATTTTTTAGACAGGGTCTCACTATGTAGTGCAGGCTGGTCTTGAACTCACTATGTAGTCCAGACTGGCCTTGCAGTAATCTTCCTGCCTCAGCCCTCAAAGACATAGGATTACGGGTGCCTACCACCATGTCTGGCCTGCTTCTTTTATTTTTAAAGTATTTGGTACTGTTTTCTCTTATATATCTTGATATCTGAAAATCTGCCACCAAATGCCAAATTGTGCTATATATCTACCAATAGCACCAGCAATTTTAAAAAGAGCTAAAGATATTTTTAACAGTTTCAATTATTTTTCTCAATCTGAAACTGGTAAGAGGACAATATTGGAAATTAGGGATAGTTTTTAACGTTTCCTATCATTCGTTTGCCCTATCAATGTACCATAGTCTGTTTAGTTAAAAACAAAACATATGTGGAAGCAACCCAAATGTCCATCCACTGAGGAATGGATAAAAAAATTGCGGTACTTTAATATAATGGGATATTACTCAGCGATAAAGAAAGATAAACTCGAGGCTTTTACAGGTAAATGGTCACAACTAGAGACCATACTCATAAGTGAAATAAAGCAGACCTCCATGTGTAAGCAACGTATTGCCTCACTGGTGTAAGGACCTGAAAGAGTGAATAAAAATTAAAAGGTATGACAGACATTGTGCAATGAAAGGAAAATGCTCA